CGAATAATGTAGACAGTGTACATAATACCTCATCTCAGAAATATAGACAGAGACTGACATTACTGACCAATGTAATAAGGATGTTCATGCAATGTATTAAGTGACCTTGTATGAAAAAGGAGTATAAACGAATGCAGGCAAAAATGTCCTTTAGAAGTGTTCATACATTTTGGGTGTTGAATCCTTCAAGAAAGAATGAATTTATATGTGAGAAACACAGTAACGTTAGTGCCGAATAACCTTAAAGAAAGTTCGAGTTATGGTGATATCCTGGGCGAAAATAAAAGTGCATAGCAGTTTGAAGATATCTCGTTGACTTTAATGACCGAATAATGTCGAAGAAAGAACGAAACATATATAGTCTTGAACAAAAGGGAAAAACGAAAGAGTTCATAACACAATTCCCGGACGTTAAATCAGTATAAATAACTTAAGAATTAGTCCTTTAAGAAGAACAGTAAGTCCATTTGGTTCAGTTTGGCGAATATGTATGTCGCCGAAGAAAAGATATATCAAAGTTCATTGAATCAACATGAATAAAATCACTTGATATCCTTGAGGAGTAGACGGTGAATAAAATCCATGAAAATGAATTCAAGATATCTGCATGTTGATTGGTGTTGATTTAGGCCAGAATTGTTTGTCTGGAAAACAATCGAATATGCCGGAAGTGACAAAGCATGAATGTACGTGTGTGTGTATGCATGTATGTGTGTATGTATTATATGGGCGCATGGCCTAATGGTTAGAACGTTCGCTTTCTGACCATGAGTCGATTTGATGTTATCGGACTGTATCGAGGTCGTTCCCAGTTTGCGGCACCTTGTGAGTGAAATTGAGGATACCTGTGCTAGCACGAAATCACAAGTCATCGAGGCCGAGGGCTTGACGGTGCTGGCCTTGTTCGAATTGCTGATCACGCTAGATAACATGCTCTCTCCCAGAAACTGTAACTAAAGTCTGCTCAGCATAAACCACAGATGGGTTCTGTGGGTGCTGAGCAAACACAAATGTGCCTGAGGGAGCGTCTGCAATATAGATTGGCTAGCCCCCCTAATAGACGAGTATACATGTGGCCAGCTAATTCTTTATTTTTAAGTATGTATGTATTGTAGCTGCGTTTCCCAAAGGAGAATGCGTTTTCCGCGAGAGATTTACATGTTGTCGTATAAGCGGATGAGTAGGAAGAGAACGATCAAATTTTATCGCAGAGTATTTATAGACCTGAAAGTATCCCCTATTAGCGGTTTCGAAAATTAGGTGGAGGTAATCCGACAATACATTAGCAAGAAAGGTATACATTTTAATTAGTATTTTTAAGAAATAGTCATATTTTAGTCATATTGGTGGGTGCAACAGAATGCAAGTGACAGATTAGACTAAAACATGCAGCGTTAGTATCAAATCTGAACTGGCACCAATCAATCGTCAATTTCGAAGGGAGTTCCACTGTCGGGGAGTGCGAGAGAATAAACTATTGGAGTAGAAGAGGCGGTTACATTTAACTGTTTCGACAGTGAAAAGGTGGGATCAAGATGCCAATCTAATAGCACGATTAAATTCATGCAATCGGGGTACCAGTGAAAGTACCTCGTCAGAGAAGTTGTCATCAAAAAACTGGTTCATATTTTACATAATGCTTTTCCAAATGCTCTATTTGAAGAAAAATATTCACTAATTAAGGTTTTAGTCTTAATAAAATATTTTTTATTCGGTTATAAAAAAAAAAAGGTATGTTTTTCTGGTGCTGAGTAGTCTCGGTCCTGAGTTGTCTCGGCGCTCAATCGGCGGTGTTGAGTCGGCGGTATTGAGTCGGCGGTATTGAGTTGTCCCTTTCCGTTCTACTTACATAAATAATCTGCTTAAGAGTGTTAAACGATAGTTTACCAGACTATTATTTTTTAGTTGAAGAGTATTTTGGCTTCGATTTCCTTATGTTGGCCTTTGAAGTCAGATGAAAGATGTAAGGAAGTCGATTTTGATAGGCTGGACTAGCGTGGGAATGATATACAGCGAAAGAGGGTATTTTCTTGACCGTCATGCGATGTTGACGTGTTCTATTCCATATCTGAAAAGCATCCACAGTGAGTGTGAACGACTCCTACTGAATAGTTACTAAATGTCAAAATTAATAAAAATAGAAGTTACAATTCTCTTTATTGAGGTTTTTCCATCTCTGGACCCCAAAAAATCTAGCGATCACCGCCCGAGAGAGAAGATGCAAAATTTAATCGAATTGGTGCTGTTGACCTCCCAACTTGAGCGGTTATACAGCAAGAGCATACTCCGAATCTTTGCGAATATCTATACAGATGATACAACGGTATATAGAAGTGCAACTCCAAATCTCTAGACTTCCAGCTATAGGCAGATGATCAATGCATGCATCCCCTAACAGAGATTCTCGGTTCAGCCCTCTTTCTACTTTATATAAATGATCTGCCTAAGAGTATACTCCGATCAAAATACAAGTGACAGATTAGACCAAAAATGCAGTGTCAGTGTCACATCTGGACTGGCACTACTTAATCGACACTTTTGAGCATTGATAAGGTTCAAAATCCTTTACGCAAATTCGTGGGGAAATATTTTTTCACTCTTTTCTCCCAGAAAAAGAAAAAAAAATACATTTCATAGAAGTTCTCTTATAAAATGTCTGTATAAACAAAATTGGCATACATGGACTATCGTGTCCGCAAAGAAAAGGATTGTCAAGAGGACGGTTTTTCTCATGACACCACTATTATCTTAACTCACTTCATTCCTCGGCAGTGTTTATTGTTTTAAAAAGCGAGGATTAAAATTGGAATAAAACCTAAAAATATTAAAGTGAATTTATACATTTTCTTTGTTCTTGAGAATTGACAACAAAACTATTTATTAAATTGTTTATTTACACTATTTGTTTATCACATTTTTTATTGGAATGTTTGGGAAAACATCGACTAATTGCCAATTGATTCGAACTTTATAAAATGGTAAATAATTAGGATTTCCTTAAATTGGTTCACATATTTTAATGGTTTAGTGTTTATAAATTTGTGAATAAAAAATTATTTTCATATTTATTTCTTTATAAATTGGTAAATGATAAATGTTTTATTGCATTAGTTTGAATTGTATTAGTTTTTAGAATGTTGTAAATATAAAATTATTCTTGTAAATGAACAATCTAATAAACAAATAGTGTTTAATATTTTTTTGTTGTAAATTCTCAAGAACAAAGAAATGTATCAATTCACTTTCATCCAATGTTTAGGTTTTATTACAATTCTAACCACCGCTTTTTAAAAAATTGAATTCACTCCAGACAACGCAGTAAAGCCACTAAGACACAAGGGGTTACTAGGTGTTAAAGAATTATGAGACAAAAACATTGTTAAGGAGCGATAACAATAGAAGTGTAATCAGGAAGACAGCAGATAGCGAATAACATTTCATTTAATTTTTTTTTTTTTTTTAGGATTAAAGTTGACTGTAAGCCAGAAAAGAGTTCCTCAAACGGGATGTGTTAGAAAATAGACTGTTTAGCATAGAACTTACTCCCAGAATTCCCTAGTGGGACCGAAAGTGCTTACAAATCCTCATAATTTGTATTGATGTTATAGAACATGCAGTTTTAAGCGTAAATTTAAGTTGTTAATAAGAAAAACAAAGTATTAGGAATGATTGCTAATTTTAATTTATTTTTAGGCTCCAGAGACGAGCGGGCAATTATGAGAAGGATAGTTCTGGCCAGTTCCCGTGGAAGTGAGCTATTGAAAAAACAAGTTGATGTAAGAACAAATTTTAAATCGAATATTTTGATTATCAAATGCTTGTAATATTCATCGGTTGCCCCCCCACACACACACACACCAATTTTCTAAGTTTTGTAGGGGAAAAATCAGAGCAGACAAATTATATTGCTCTGCTAGTATTGACGTTAGTATTAACCTTTTGATTTTGTTTTGATGTTAACCTCTCGTGTGGTCCAACAGCTTGAGAGGGGGGAAAGAGGACAAGAATAGATTAGAACTTTACTATTATGAATGAAAAGTTAGTCCGTTTAATTTAGTGAAGTAACATACTTATAGTAAATCTCATTCCTAACTCGCGTATACGATAGTGGTGTAGTATGAAAATAAATACGCTGCTCGAATTTGTTCCCCCTCTTCCCCAGAAAAATCTCAGCTCTCAAGTGCCCCCCCCCACTTTCAGAGTTCTAGAATTGCCACTGACTATTCCTTTTTATACTGGAACTGCAATATATTTAAGCAAAAATATCATGTGAGAGACCCTTTTTATCAAATGTAAAAATGCAGAATTGACTTTTTGCTTGACTATTTATTTCATAAATAAAAACGCATTTTTAGTTGCTACGATGGTAGTATAACGGTTAATGACTTGGAGAGGTCCATTGGATTCCATCCGACTTCGTTACTTTCACTTTCACTTTCACTTTTAGAAAAGGTATGAATCTATCATTCTTCTCCCCTAACTATTGGTTTAATTGGACTAGAAGGGTTCTCTTGTCATGGGATGGTAACCAGTGAAGGTGAAAGAAGATTCTGAATGCAAAACAAGACTGAAGAGGAATGAAATCCGTCAGGTTATCCTACCTACAGCGCTGATATTGCTGCAGTATATGTGGTGCCACTACAACGCAGCTGAGTTATGGGACTCGTGATGTCACCTGTTCTGTGATAATATGTTTGTAAAGAATCCATGAAAAGCCGTTTTCTTAATTGTTCGCTTTTGTGTGCCAGGTTCCTTCATGGGGGCACTCCTCTCATGTCCGTAATAGACGGGGGCGCCCGACTATTTAACTTTTTATACTTTTGTTTTTTTTTTTTTCCGATCAACCCAGTGATACCAAACTCCGCGTTTAACATATTTTTCACATTTTTCCGTCAGGTCTGCTTATATGAACTCTCTCTCTCTCTCTTCTCTCTCTCTCTCTCTCTCTCTCTCTCTCTCTCTCTCTCTCACACACACACACACACACACACACTCAGAGCATGGCAGTTTATTCAAAATCTCTCATATCTGTTTATTCCAACACCCTTTCTCTCTCATCATGTTTGCCTATTCCAATTCTCTCTCTCTCTCTTTCTCTCTCTCTCTCTCTCTCTCGTCATGTCTCTTTATTCCAACAAGTCTCTCTCCTCATAACATGTCCGTTTATTGTTAATCTCTCTCTCTCTCTCTCGTCATCTCTCTTCTATCTCCAACAAGTCTCTCTTCATTCCAATTCTTTTATCTCTCGTACTCTCTCCCTCTTATCATCTCGGTTTATTCCAATTCTCTCTCTCACTGTCTCTCTCTCTCACACACACACACTTCATGTCTGTTTATTCTTCTCTCTCTCTCTCTCTCTCTCTCTCATCATGTTTTTAATTCCAATTCTCTCTCTCTCTTTCTCATCACGCCTGTATTCCCATTCTCTCTCTCCCTCTCTCATCATGCCTGTTTATTCTAATTCTTTCTCTCTCTCTCTCTCTCTCTCTCTCTCTCTCTCATCCTCTGCATTCAAATTCTCTTTGTGTCTTTCTCATCATACCTGTTTATTCCAATTCTCTCTCTCTCTCTCTCTCTCTCTTATCATCCAATTCTCTTCTCCTTTTCCCTCTTTTCTCATCATGCCTGTTTTCAAATTCCTCTCTCTCTCTCTCTCTCTCTTATCATGCCTGTTTATTCCACTTCTCCTTTTCTCTCTTTCTCATCATGCCTGCTTATTCAAATTCTCTCTCTCTCTCTCTTTCTCTCTCTCTCTTATCATGCCTGTTTATTCTACTTCTCCTTTTCTCTCTTTCTCATCATGCCTGCTTATTCAAATTCTCTCTCTCTCTCTCTCTCTCTCTCTCTTATCATGCCTGTTTATTCTACTTCTCCTTTTCTCTTTCTCATCATGCCTGCTTTTCATTTCTCTCTCTCTCTCTTTCTCTCTCTCTCTCTATCATGCCTGTTTATTCTAATCTCCTTTTCCCTCTTTTCATCATGCCTTTATTTCAATTCTCTCTCTATCTCTCTCTATCTCTCTCTCTCTTGTCATGCCTGTTTATTCTACTTCTCCTTTTCTCTCTTTCTCATCATGCCTGCTAAAATAAATCAATCAACTCGATTGAGAATTTAAATGATCATTTTTTTCATCATGTTTTATTTCAAAATTATAAACAATTATTTCCCGAAAATGAAATCTTGAAAAATTTTCAAATTTAAATCTTATATTAATTAAAAATAAATCAAAACTCCTTGGAGAATTTAAATGATCATTTTTTTTTTTTGTTTGTAAAAATATAAACAATTATTTCCCGAAAATGAAATTTTGAGAAATTCAAATTTCAGCCTTATATTAATTAAAAGCAAAACTCCTTGGACAATTTAAATGATCATTTTTTTTTTTTGTTTGTAAAACATAAACAATTATTTCCCGAAAATGAAATTTTGAGAAATTCAAATTTCAGCCTTATATTAATTAAAAGCAAAACTCCTTGGACAATTTAAATGATCATTTTTTTTTTTTTTTGTAAAAAAAGAAATAATTATTTCCAAGAAATGAAATTTTGAAAAATTCAAATTTCAGCCTTATATTAATTAAAAGCAGAACTCCTAGGAAAATTTAAATGATCATTTTTTTTTTTTTTTTTTTTTTTAAATAGAAACTATCATTTCCCGAAAATCTACTGTGAACCTTAAAATCTAAAACGTTTCTGATGCTAATTTCTATCAATGTTGCAAACTAGGGTGTGGTTACCCGGGGTTGAGTTGGGTATAGAGTTGTTGTTTTCGCGGGAGCAAAAAGCTCAGAAAAGAATAGAGTCCAACGTGCCTTAGCAAAAAAATGCAAATGCCGCACGGTGGATGACTCCACAGTACTCTACTGTTGTGGTCGTTGTCAAAAAACGCTCAGATCATTCATCGATTATTTTAGCCATCAGCGGCGCTGAGTTCTAAGACAACTTATTTTCCGCCGTCGCTATCGGCGAAAAAGCTCTGATTCATAAAATAAAAAATGCAATAAAACTAAGACATTATTTAATTCGAAATTTTTTTTATATGCTGTTATAAATAAGATATATTATGGACACTATTATCTTAAGAAAAACATTTTTTTCGATGAATAATAGAATTTTTACTAGAATTGTTTTCATTTTTTAAATTTAAATTAGAATAATTGTTTAAGTTTTAAATCTTTTACAATTCTGTAGTAATTTCAACCTTTTAGATGATATTATTAATTAAAAACTATATTTACTAATCATAAATGGAAAAGCTTAGTATAAATCATCAAGTACCAATATTTTTAAAAGAATTTTGAATTTTTTTTTTGTATGTGTATAAACGTGCCGATTTTTGTAGATATGGATGTTCATAAGCAGCATTATCTTTATTCTTTCTTTTTTTTTCTTTTCACTCTCAGTAACCCTTTACGTCTTTGTGGTTTTATTGTCTTGCTGGGTTGAAATGATTAAATAAATAGATACGGTGAATCTGTATCATTAAATTCATTTGTAAACAAACGTATGTCTTTTTTGTTGTTCAGATAGTTTAATTCAACAAAAAAGTAACACAAAAAGCTGAGACCTAAGAACATTATTCTTGTTTAATAGGATGTGAAAGTTGAGATCATTGTTGACAAAGACACGATGATTGGCTCTGATTTCACTACGAAACTTCTGTTCAAGAACACTTCAACTGACATTCGAACGTTGTATGGAAATAAGAATATCAGTACAACATATTATACTGGAGTTACCGTCAAAGAATTATTCAACGAGACTATCAATTTAGTTCTCCAACCAAACGGCTGTAAGTATCGAAAAGCAAGTAAAAATTAAAAGAAGTTTAATTCTACCATATCGATCAAATTGATTGATTCGTTTTTTTTTACGGCTTATCAACCTTTTCAGATTGTTTAAGGATAGGAAATATTTTTAGATTGTACGAAAATATATATATATATATATATATATATATATATATATATATATATATATATATATATATATCAGACAAAAAACCTACCTAGGTTTCACCTAAACGGATCGTCAGGGAAAGGTGAAACCTAGGTAGGTTTGTCTGGCTCACTAGGTGTATCTAGGTCTGCTCTACGATTGTATTGAGCTCTTTTGTTAGTTAGTTGTTACTCGTATCGGGGTTTTTTCTTTGGGCTTCAGACCTGCATCTGTGCGATTTTTTGTCGGCAGAAGTTTATGTTTGTAGCTCTTTTTTTTTTTTTAAAATTTTTTTTTTTCGAAATTGATTTGATTAACAAATCAAAATTCGAGGGTTTTTCGAAACGAGTCTAGTTATTTATATATATATATATATATATATATATATATATATATATATATATATATATATATATGTATTTGTATTTGGGAAACAATAGTAGTTCAGTGATAAAAGCCCTACTAAGTAAACCATAGCTGCGGGGAAAAGGTTTGGATTCATGCCTTTCACAAGGATATTTGCATGTAAGTGAATATAATGAACCCAACTGGAACTCGGTTGTCCAATTAACAAATCCGGGCCATTATCCTCTGCATCACGCTCATATCCAAGTTTACAACACTTGGTATTCCCAAGCAGTCACCCATCTACCAGTAAATCATTATTATCTAAAAAAAAAAAGTTCTTACAATCTAAAAATATTTTCTGGCTTTAAATAACACGTAAAAGGTTGATAAGCCGTAAAAAACTAATCAATCAATGCTCACAATACTCTACGAATATATGCCAAATGTATAATACAAAATGTATATGGACAAGAAGCAAAGCCCAAGAACATTACTAAATCACTGTGTCATCAAATAAGTCCTTCATTTACTTCAAAAGGAATTTATACAACAGTTTAATTATATGATGTACCGTATTTGAGGGCATATAAGACGCACGGGTGTATAAGATGCACCCCAATTTCAGCTGGGCAAATCAAGAAAAAATTAGTAATTAGTAAAAATATTAGTAAATGGTACAACCTAGTCTATATTTGTGAGGCATTATTTTGGTTAAATAAGCCACGATTACAATTAAACGAAAAATAATAGGAAAAAAAGAACACGAGCCTATAAAAAATTATATCCAAAGGTAAGAAAACAAAATAAAAATCAAGCAATTATTACAGTTAAGCAAAATAGTACAGTTACCATTAAAATTTTATTCATCGTCAAAGCCATAAAACTCGTCGTCTTCGTTATCAAAACTCTGATATTCATTTTCAATACTACTATCATGGAATAATTAGGATATAAAAATTCTGATTGTATTTATACTAATGCAACTAGAAGTAATTACAAGAAAAATATTAATGAAACTAATATATTTTACAAATATATAATTTGAATTTATTGCATATAATTTTAGTGAAACAAAATACTAATATTAAACGTGATGAAATTAATATAATGAATATTATCAATGATAACACTTTTAATCTGCATAATAGCCTTTTAAATATTGACAATAGGTATATGAAAGGTACTCTTAAGTCTAAGCTAATAGGAGTTGCCAGGTTACTAGTTTCGGCCGACTATCGCGAATTTTAAACCTACAAATGGCTTATAAGATGCAGGGTAATTTTAAAAGATATTTTTAGTAAAAAAAAAAGTGCGCCTTGTATGCCGTCAAATACGGTAATCGCGCTCAATTTGAAAGTTGGGGTTTGACATGATAAATAATGACCGAAAATATTTTTTCCAAATTGCTACCGTTTTTTTTTTTTTTTTTTTTTTTTTTTTTTTTGAGGAAACGAGTTTAAAGATTAAGTTCAGGTTCAAAATCATAACGTGGGAATTTCCTTCCGCCGATCAGTGAAAGTCTAATAGCGCAACTTTATAAAATTTATAATTTATTGAAGCTTTACAAACTGTATATGGATAAAATCATTTTGCTATCAAATAAGATCCTCATTTACTTCAAAGGGAAATTATGCTGAACAATTTAGCTATATTATAATGTAACATTTAATATAGTTCAATAGTTTTAATGCGATTTTCAATTAACAATGTAAATTTTAAACATTTGTTTTATAATTTGTGTTCAGCTGTATTACGGTGTTATATACACTATTTTTTTGTTTGTTTTTATTAAATACTAGCAGTAGAGCCCGGCGTTGCCCGGGGATGTAACAGTAAGAGACAGATCAAGTATCGACCATCATAAAGACTGAAAAATAAAATTGACAAAGATTATTGTTTAAGGTTGACGGACACGCATGTCTTAATTAGCTTTTTTTTTTATGAATTGGTCAAACCCAAACTCAAACAAAAACATTGTTTTCAGTCGTTATGACTATGAGTCTACTGATTGAATAGAATTTTATTATAAACAATGGTCTTGTAAATGGAATTTTTAAAGCATTCTGAATGTAAAAATAAAGAAAAAAGTGTGCAAGACAATAAGAAACACTACCTGCCAAAAAAAGTGAATTTTTGTTGAAATCGGTTGTAAAATGTAGGAAATCCGATCCCATATATAAACGAACACACCACACACACACACACACACAGAGACACACATACACACACACACACACAAACAAACAACCTGGGTTTTATAATAAGTATAACTCGATATGATTTGTCCCCCTTTCATTAATGCCTTTTAATCGTGTTTTCAAATTGATTTCATGCAAAAACAATTGTTTTTCCAATTTTTGGCCCCGTCAGAACCACCGCCAGGTAATTTTACGTAGTCCTGTGAAGTTTTGTTGAAATCGGTTGAAAAATGTAGGAAATCCGATCCCATATATAAACGTACAGATACACACACACAATCTGCGTTTTATAATAAGTAAGATGATTTAACAAATGATATAACAAATTATCTAACATATATTTTATTCATTGAGTAACCTTTTTGTAATATTTTATCGTTTTTTTACAGTTTTTTGTTTAGCGAATACAGTAAAAAAAATTGTATATTTTGGTTGTAAGGATTCATACTTAGAATTTTGGCTTGAATATATTTT